TATGTCAAAAGCATAAAAATTGATCAAATTATTTTGAGCAGAAAATATAGAACAGTTGTTTTCATTCTCTCTAAGAATGGTGCCTACTAGATACAAAGGTCTTTTGCCTGAAATAGAGCTATGAAAAAAAAAAAAACGGAACAAGTAGAACTAGTGGAAATAGAAGATTCCAACAAGGGCTATAAGCCTATGGGAATCCCAGAAGAAAAGTGAACAAAACAAAAGTGGGGAACAAAAATGCTGACATCAACATTGTTTCTAAAAAGAACAAAAATTCTTCTTCACAGATTTCCTTAGAATTCGCCTTTACGTTCACAAAAGCAATAATGTTTATAAAAATCTTTAAAATGCATAGCAAATGGTGACATAAAATTACCTTTCCTATGTAACTTTTAGTGACAAAAAAAATGATTGTAACAACAGCAACATTAACCTCTCTGTTTGGCAAAAAAATACAGTCTACATAGCTCTTGCACACGACAAGTTAATCACAGGTTCAATAGGCTCAAAAGTTAAACTAGTTGGTTTCATCTTTTTGAAATCGTTTTTATAGTCTGTGACATTTTTCCTGTCACCTACCCAATAAATCAAAGACTTGCATCTCTCACAATAATTGTGCAATTATTGTTAAGCGCATGCAACATGGTATCTTCATGTAGAAGCTTACAGTTTGATTTCAGTGTAAATATATTCTAAGGATTAAGTAGTTACATGTAGTTCTTCAGCAGTTAGTAGTTAAGGTAGTATAAATGAACCCCATAACAAGAACTAGAGTCAAAGACATTGTGCATATGCACAGGCATTATAACCTGGTAGGTTAGATGTTAGTTTTGGGTTGCCTGTGCTTATGAGCCTGCTATTGCAGTCAGCAGCACGGTTATGTACAGTGCAATACAAGTGAATATATGAAAGATCATATATTTGAATTGCAGAGAAAGATATGAAGGCATGATTGATTATTGCAGTTATACACACAACTCAAGCAGTTGTGAAATTAAAGCCTGAAAAAAATTCAGGCTTTAATTTCTAAACTGGTTAAGTCATGTATATAACTGCAATTATCAATCATGCCTTCATATCTTTCTCCGCAGTTCAAATATATGACCTATCATATACCGGTATTCACTTGTATTCTTCACCATCTAGGCATATTACGAACTCACAATGTGATCAGCTCCAAGATGGCTTGATAGCTCAGTTGGTAGAGCACTCCACTGGCATTGCAGAGGTCATGGGTTTGAATCCCGTTCAGGCCTGAATTTTTTTCAGGCTTTAATTTACAACTGTTTAAGTTATGTGTATAAGTGCAATGATCCATCGTGCCTTCATACAGTTATGTAATGTATAAATTATGTATACTTTGTTAATAGCTCATTGCACTTAGCTGCCTTGTTTTCTTGTACTGTACAATTGCATGAAATTAGCTGATTACAGCCTCAAGTTTAGCAGGCAATCGTTTTCTTCACTTCACAACAGTTTGCAATATGCCAGCTGCTATCCTGGTGTTCCTGGTTTTAGCACATTAATTTTTCATTAAACTTGATTTGGTCACAGAAGGAAAATGTTTTCTGATATTTTAGTTGTACACTTGGTAGCTTAGTTGATTTCACCAGTTTCAACCCTAGCACATGTGTGGCATGTAATCCATGCCTTGTGTGATGCACAGAACGTGTGGGCACTAACATAAGTAGGCACTGTCCTTAAAAACATTCAACCTTTGTAACCAGCTGTTTGTTAAAATAACCTTTGTATGCAGTTAATGTTGTAAGAAACATTTATTAAGATTCTACATTTCTGACCAACAGCATTAACTCTAGAAGCGCCATACAGATCTATTCAAAATTACAAACTTATCTTGTAGAGAATGCAAATGGCCATCTACAACTGGTTTTATATCAACTTCAAAACGTTTTAAAATTCTTCTCAGCAATGAGCCATACAGTCTATCAAAACATGTGTACCAGTTCTGAGAATTAGATGGTGGATCAAGACAATACACTGTATCCATTAACTGATGATTTTCCTGGTTTATTGTCGCCTACTTAATTGCTTGATAATATATTGGTATTGTAACCAGAAATTGAGTTTTGATCAGTCCTGGGTTAACCAGGGATAGGGAAAGGGCCTGTGAGCTGACTTCAATGGTGTTTATAACCTTTTTAATATCAATAAATAAAGTAAAAGCTGCCAAACATTATGACTTAATCTGACATTTATCTGAACAATTTGGAATACAAGACATCTTAAAATACTTCAGTTATAGCATAGGTTAAATGTTATATTGTTGCAAACAGTGGTCATTAAATTAATAAAATTTTATTTGATCGTTCTCTCGTGTGAGTTGGCTTATTGTCTGGGGCTTGGGTCTGACATGGACCTTGACTAGGTTTCAAATGGATATCATCATGAGAGATATTTTCTAATGACAAATTTAGGAAACCTGTCACATCATTTCCTTTCTTAGCTTTTCCTCTGGTATGACTACAATAAATTATACTTAATCAATATTGAAA